TGGGGTGGTGCGGGCATGCAGACTAAAGCAAACTCCAGGACACATCAACCAAGGCAGTGGTAAACTTGTCAGATCCTGGTTTGAGCAGATTAATTATAATTTACTTTTTTAAAGTAGGAGAAGATACATCAACTGTACCTTTATACTAAAGAGTCTTTCATCTTTAATGGGAGGAAGGGCAGGGGAGAGGGAGGACAGGAGGAGAGTCTTCCAGAGCAGAGCAGAGTTAATATTTGGGAGTAAGTCTGACTAGAAGTCAGACATGCTTTCAGAGGTGCTGGAAAGATTTTGATCATCACCAAAGCCTGGTTTCAGTATGGAGCAGAAACGGGTGTATTCAACCCTCTGCAAAGATAAATATGCCCTCAATTTCTGGTTATTCATCCTCAAAAACCGGAGTTCATCCCAGGACCATAGCATCCTCCTCAGGCTCTCACTCTCGCAACAAAAATCCCGATTCTTTTGTAGTCTTGCCAACTGAGGGGTCCACAGTCAACTCGAAGAATGACCCCTGTTTCCTGGTGACCCCGAAAAACACAAGGGGAAAAGGGCTTGGAAACAGCCCACGGGACAGGACGCCAAAGTGAGTTACGGAGCAAAGGCCAGAGTTTGCGCGAAGTTTGAGGTGGCCCGGGCCCCTTGGGCCCTGTGCAGCCTGCCGGTTGGAGCGGCCCGGCCGGGTGTGGCTGCTTGGCTGCGGGCTTGGGGAGTCTCCATCAGCGCTGCCAGGCTCCCCGCGTCTTCTGAGAGGCGCCCCTGATTACATAAGCAGCCCAGGCTCGCCCAGCAGGAGGGCCGACGGAGCACCGGGCTCACCTGGCTGAGACAGGGAACCCATTCCCGGCCTGGTCTGCATCGCGATCACCCTGCACAGCCAGGTTCCCTGTGCCCCTCTCCAGGGCCCTCGCCACAGACCCCACACACTGCGCCCGCGTCCTCAGCGGTGTCGATTTCTCTTCCTGCTAGAAGGTGAGCACGTATCTGCTGGGTCCACCCTTTCCGCCTCGCTCAGCAGTCGCCCCAGAACGGGGTAGCTGGTCACCCCACGTTGAAAGCACCTGTTATGGTTGATACCTTGTGTCAACTTGGGGAGTCTAGAGGTTTGGCTAAGGGACTCAGCAGGAAGCCAGGGTGCTTACTTTGTATACATCCTGAGCCTGTGGAAGAGGAGGGCATGGAGATTATGTGAGAGCTACACGCCCCTTAGGTGGGGGTAGCCTGTTT